TGAAATGTTCACATTATGAAACTTCGATACTTATTAACTCTATTTACTCTAAGCATATATCGTTCGTTATGAATAAACGAAGTTTCTTTCAGGGCTGTTTACTCAAATATAGCAGCATGGCTACAGAAACCAAAATGGCTACAGAAACCATCCAATCATCACGGTGGTAGCATTAACATTTGTCATTTGATGAAATTGAGATTTGCAATGTTTGAAATATTTCAATAATTAAGTCTCTTAAAATAACTCTAACGCGAAGTCCTCTTCGATGGCTCAACGGCATATTCTTGGTTGGCTTCGTCCGAGAAAGATCAGAGTTGGAATCTTGCATATGCAGGGACTTTACTTCAAGTCGATTTCTCGCGAGGTATGTGTATGGTACTGTGATAATTTGTCCTGCTACATGTCTGACATTGTTACTTGTACTGCCATGGTGGATGTGCATCCGTAGTCCTCTGAATTCGTGATGGTATGATGCAATATCATTATAAAATAAAACTGTATCAAATTATATCTGCGTTGTATTAGCCAAAAGTTGGTTTGTACTACTGGATGAGCGGAATTTATAGCACCGGCACACATATATAAAGAGACAACCCATTACTCTTTAATGCGACTTCAGAGAGCATTGAATTTTTATCGATTTGACGCTGAAATTACTGATTAGACGCTGAAATTATTGGTTATACGTCTGCGTGAAAAACAATTTTCGAGATGCCGAGGCCATTCCTCGTTTCAATTGTACATATGAGCGTTCTGAATCTGGGTAACCCCTTTGTTGTTTTAGAAGACGTAATATTGTCCAACAATGTTATAGTGAACAACATTTTTTTAAGTACGAAAAAAATAAAGTACACCAATAAATTATTTTTCAGTAATGTTCCAATCTAATAATTTTTGGAACCACGATGTGGTCACTGACGTACGTTGAAATTTCACATGCCTTCTATTAATCATATGACGCAGTTCTCGTTACACCTGCTCGAGTAATTAGCATATGCAATGTCGCTCTGAACCTACCAGCTGTTGCCTGCAACCAACATGCTGCTCCACTTTCAGTGATGTACTCGTAGCTTCTAAGTTCTATTTGCCCGGTAAACTTTACTCCACACGACACACATCACTTCGTTTGAAGCCCATCATTTCGTTATAGGAACTCATCACATCGGTCGGCCCTCATAATATCGTTCAACACGCATCAAATTATTTGGAACACATTAGCATCGTCGAATTAACATCTCATTACTTGGTACACATCACATACTGTAATTGGGCACACATTATGCACGCATCACATAAGTGGGCATACATCACGTCATTAAGCGCGCATCACATCATTGAACACTCATCATATCTTCGGACCTTCATCACATGGTCTCGTGAAAAGTAAATTTGGCAATCGATAAAATGGCTGCTGCAAAAGAGAGGCAGAGCGTCATTCGCAGAGAGTCTAGAGAGGAGGAGAGAGCAGTCAAAGAGCAGAAACGATACCATGAGCAGGAAGAGAATGTGATCGCCTAATGAATAAAGGAAGAACAATGAATATAGCATCAACCGTTCGTTGATTAACTAATGTCGTATCGTGATCGCGACGACGTTAAAATGGATATTGGTCAACATCTCGATAAGTTCGATCCGCAAAGAAGTCATGAGATTCCCTTGTCATGTCTACAATGAACGATGGATTTGCATCTTCATGAGGAACATCCTTCATCGCAACTTAAATATAGCGGACAATACGGACGACAAGGGATTAGGGGGTATTCGAGTTTGCCGCTCTTGAATGTCGGGATTAATTCAAAAATATTGGGCAGAGTAAATTAATTTTTCAAATTTACACCTCGAAATATCAAACACCTCCAATCGCTGGTATAAATTCATGAAATAAATTATTACAGTTTAGATAGCATTTAAAAACTTATATCAAAATATCATATTACTACTTCAACTGCAGGCAAGGTATATTCAACGCAAGATATTGATATTGAAGAATACGTCCTTTGTCGCAATGAAGTGCCCTTCAGCCATCCAATCCCTCTGTCGTGGAATCGTATTTCGACTACGGCAAAATTCCAAATTTTTAGTGAAAAAATCCTTGCAGACGACATTTGAAACATTAAATGGTAAAGTGGTTCAAATTTAGGTCGAATCCGGGCATCTGTGATTCTAATGCTCTAGGCATTGCTGACGGCCAATTAATGAAAGGATTTCAGACTAGCATATTCAAACATTTTTTCAAATAGTCGTTCATGTTGGAAAAATGTTTGTGTTTATTTAAGCAATGGTACCTTTCACTATACCACGGATTTATACCGCGGTTACTGAGCGCGTAATCTTGTCGTGACGTGACTTCTCAGCTGAAACTTAGATACGATTTTTTTTTAAATGCAGCCAAAAATTGTTTCTTATATGAACTTAAAAAGTTGCACTGCTCATTACTCCTCTTTGAATTCATTATACGTGCGTTCATAACCTAATACACTGTTAGAAAAAAAAACGGTGAAAAAACGGTCCCACAGGCGTTCTAGTGGCCGGTCGCCCCGTGAAAATAAACTGTTTCGCCGTTTTATCAGACGTTTTACGGATTTCTAGTATTAAATTAGAATAAAAACGGCGAGACGATGTTTCTTTTCACGTGCCACTGGCCACTGAAACTCCGGTAATACCGTTAACGGTAATTTTTCTAACAGTGTAGATGGATGACAAAAATTTCACACTCACCTTACTTTGGTGAACTGCTAAAGAAAACTTGTAGAGTCGAGGAGCCGAGTTTCTAACTTTGAGGCTTTTAACCGTTATGCTCATTCATATGTATGCATACTGTTCTTACTTACAGCTGAAAACAATCCCGAATGAAATGTATGGCCACGTTTACGTCTNCTTTTCGTGACTTGATTCACAAGGGATCCGGCCTTTGGAACCCGATCTTTCCATAGCTGACGTTTGATTGATATAGCTGCTGGACTTATTGCCTGGTCCGTAAGTTGCTAGGCATTTTAAGACTGAAATTTGACTCCTGAAATATTTGCACAACCTTGTAAGAGACGATATATAATGCGAGAGCGACAGAAACAGTGCACAGCCCCAAGCTAGTCCTAGCGAAGTCGCTCCATAGGCAGTTATCTCGAACAGACATTTCCTGTACTAATAGCAGAAACAATGTCAAGCCTTAACTACTTTGAACGAATGGTGGAGGAACGGATTCTATCTATTCTTATTCTATCTATCTTATTCTATCTATCTATTCTTTCTATTCGATTTTTATTCTATTGTCATCTAATCGAAGTTCATTTAAATTTCTGACAATGATAAATATTTACCGGATTAACGGCGTCTTGCCTGTGGCCGGAGGTCGTCCAGCGACAATTTTTTCCGTGTTTTTTTAATATTATTAACGAGTTTTTCAATAATATTAACGAGAATAATAATAATAATAATAATAATACCTTTTTAGCGCATTTTTTCATTTATGGAAAAATACACTATTGTGCTCGTCATGTCCGTCCGTCTGTCCGTCTATCTGTTCGTCTGTCTGTCCGTCCGTGACTTCACGTTTACGTCGACGAGAAAATGCGCTCTCTGTCACTCACTGCAGTGAGTACTGAGTCCTACTGAGACCTAAATTGTCCTCAAATGCGTGGAAAAGTGATTTAAATATTAAAGATTTCATTGTTCAGGTCGCCGATTGAAATAACCTGTGGCCGGAGGTCGTCCAGCGACAATTTTTTCCGTGTTTTTTTAATATTATTAACGAGTTTTTCAATAATATTAACGAGAATAATAATAATAATAATAATAATACCTTTTTAGCGCATTTTTTCATTTATGGAAAAATACACTATTGTGCTCGTCATGTCCGTCCGTCTGTCCGTCTATCTGTTCGTCTGTCTGTCCGTCCGTGACTTCACGTTTACGTCGACGAGAAAATGCGCTCTCTGTCACTCACTGAAGTGGGTACTGAGTCCTACTGAGACCTAAATTGTCCTCAAATGCGTGGAAAAGTGATTTAAATATTAAAGATTTCATTGTTCAGGTCGCCGATTGAAATACGAGTAATATATCATTTCGCTACACGTAGTCAAAAAGATCATGATGAAGCAAACGCCAAGTTATATATTATCAGTATCATGTATTCAGTATTGTGTATCACAATAAATAAATATCTGCGGCGTGTTTATTCCGCGAAAATTAATGAGTACCCAACCGTGCGGTCAACATACACTGAGAAATATCCATTGTAAATGTAAATTCAGACAATACAGTATATGCTCATTGTTCAGGCTTCAGTTCATTGAACTTGTGTGCAAGTTTTAATTCAATTGTTAATTTAGTGACTTTTTATTATATGTGTGTGTGTTTGTGTACTTCAAATGAATCTGTATTCTGTAAACACTCAGTGTTAGTCAGCTTAATGTAGAATAAACCACATTCAGAATACATTATTGAAATTCATATATTTTTTGCGTTCAAATCCTACCGGGCGTCTCTACAAAAACTGTTCGGTAGGTCTGCAAAGTACGCGTTCCTATAATGAAATACTCAATAATTACAATTTGATTTTTAACCGTCTACCGCCGTATGTCACTCTCAGCGGGAACATAAAAAACTTTAAACTTAAATTATACGTAGACTATTGAGTGTAGCAACATGATTTCCCTTGTACGCAAAAGAGAACATTTCAAAGTTGTCGTACGTGGCGGCAACCATCAGTGCAAGTCATTCTGGGCTCACTAGCAACGTATTCTTTTTGTCTAGGCTTGTGTGACAATATTGCTCTGGTTGCTCATGTCTTGTGGTAGTGGGTTAATATATTTAAACTACTTTACGTCGAGAGAGCTGGGTCTATACTTTCAAAAAAGTTAAGAGATTGTAAGTTCATCAGCCAATCATTGACGGCCTTTCAAGCAAAATCAACCAATCATAGGCAAGAAAATAGAGCGTAAGTACTTACGTTCACTTAGCGAGTTTTGAAAGTATGGCCCCTGGTCAACTCTGTGCAGCTGAACAGCCTGCTGCCGGCCACCCTCTACATGCGCAAGGCAAAAACGGATGAAGACAAGTTCCAGTGCATCAAATTCGGGAAGAATTCTCGATCTGCGGACGCTGGAAACCGATGGCTCTTTTGGCCGGACCCTCCTCCGCCGAACTACTCGCTGTACTCGGGCAATCTTACCTTCTCCTACCTCAAGTGAGACCCACATGCCAGGATTTTCATGTAATTAAGTGCTTGACTAAGCACTTAATTTTGCTAATTAAGTGTGTTTAATTAATTAACAAAACGTGCTATACGCTAATGAAGTGTGTTTAATTAATTAATAAAGTGTGCTATATGCTAATGAAGTGTGTTTAATTAATTAATAAAGTGTGCTATACGCTAATTAAGTGTGTTTAATTAATTAATAAAGTGTGTTATAGGCTAACTAATTAAGTGCGCGCTAATTAATAATCACTTAATAATTTAATTTTTCGCCAATTGTCCTCGTAATTGAGTCGATAAACTTGGCTTTCTTCATGGGATCGAGTTCCGATTATCTTTCATATCCTTAGTATCCTTAGTATATGTTTGGGACATAGCAGTCCCATATTTAAGCTAATTCTGCTTTTTAATGCTATATTTTCGTCAACAATGGCCCTTGATGAGAGTTTATATTGAATAAGTTCACAAAAAATTTTCTCGCATACTTCACAATCCACTCATACATTTACATATTGTTTCATTAGCCATTGGAATAACCATGAAACGTACTCTTAAATAGTTTGTGCTCTGCAGCAGCAACTTACATAATCAGCACTCTTCTATTTTCGAATAATTAGTTATTATAAACTAATTAAGATACTTGATGATAAAAAGATCATAACCAAAAGGATGTCTGGCCAGAGAAATTTAATCTTTCTATGCAAACAACTTTTCAGTGTTCGGTCATTTCTTCCTTGATAAAAAAGGTTTAAGATCTTCGTCTACATCTTTCGTTTATTGCAGGTTTCATTGAAGACCAGAGAGTATTTCTTATTGACAATTTTCTTATTATTTTTCTCGATTCGGCGAATTAGGCTCTTGATTGGAAGTGAAAATCCAAATATCAGGTTGCCATATTACATTTTATTATAATTTTATTTATTAATTTTTTTAATAAAATTTTACATTTTATGCATTAAAGAACAGCTTCTGCCAAACTACACAAATCTTTCGTTTATGTTGATATTAATTCGTCTACAGCTAATGTTTACATTGATATCCATTTGTCAACAGCAAAACAACAGCCACGTCTTGGAAAGCCAACTACACTCTAAGTCTCAACGCCCCCTACTCCTTAACAGTAACCGGTCCACCTCAGACCAGTGAGTTGCCTGCTCGTATAGCCACTCTGCGATTAAAATTAAATTAAAATTGATTATATAATTAAAAATCACTTAAATAATTATTTTATTTAAATTATTAAAATTTAAAAGTTAATTTTTTTATTTAATTAAAACTTTACCCACACCGTGTTCATGATCTATCATATTTTTCATGAATTTTCTTTCTGCGTTTGTTTGCTTATTTGTGTATTCGTAGCCTGGCGCTTGGAATCGTCTTTCACGTGGCATCCGTGTAGGGATATTCACATTTATTCTGTATTTGCCATATATTAGGTTACTTATTTTTAATATAGGTAAATTTGAAATTTGGTTTATAAAATTTATTTGTCCACTCAGTGTTCGGCGCGCGGTCTTTCGCGTTGCCATTCGTGTTGGAATATTGACATCTATTCTATATTTGGCATATATAAGGGTACATTATTTTAATATAGGTAAATTTGAAATTTGGTTTATAAAATTTATTTGTCCATTCAGTGTTCGGCGCGGGCAGTAATTGGCAATCAGTGAAACTGTTCCTATCGGACATCGGTGACACCTACGCGGTCTTCCAGCGCTGCATGGATGACACCATTATTGGTTATTACTGTGAGTGATAAACCTAACCTAACCTACCCTAACCTAACCTAACCTAACCTAAGCTAACCTAACCAAACCTAACCTAACCTAACCTAACGTGACCTAACCTAACCTAACCTGACCTAACCTATTATAACATTACCGAACCTAACCTAACTTTACCTGAACTGATCCAACCTAAATGTACCTAACCTAACCTAACGTGACCTAACCTAACCTAACCTGACCTAACCTGACCTAACCTGACCTAACCTGACCTAACCTGACCTAACCTGACCTAACCTAACCTAACGTGAGTGATTCAAAGCTCCCGGAATTCCGTTTAAAAATTCTTGCTAATTGGAATTTGAACTAATTCTTGCTAATTGGAATTTGATCTAAATACATATTTTTATTTGTTTTGAGACAAGGATTTTTAGTATTTTTTATAACTTTGTGCGTTGCTTATAGCCCACTGTTTTTACATTGCCGAATGTTTTCTTGTCAGGTAATATGAACGCAAAATTTACGCAGAAGATAATCATCAATGCAATCTAGAAATAAGATAAGATTTTTAAGATGAATTCTATCAGTTAGGATTATTTTGTATTCGATGTATCCAAGTGCAAAAAAGTACGAAGGTCCAGACCTCAATAATCTCTGGTGAAAATTTTATTTCGTCTTTCAAGATTTCATCTTGCATATTATATACAGTAGGTATCGAATTTAATGCTAGATGTATTCAACTAAAATGGCATACGACTCCAGCTCAGATTAATTACACATTAATTAATGGTTAATCCAAGATTTTAAGTTACAGTACATGAGATATAATCTAATAACACGTAAAGTAATTTCTGATTCACGAGGCAAGATTAAATAGTCATTAATAGTCAAAAATATACTTTAATTGTTAATGAGAGCACTTCTGTAGTAGTTCACTTACAAATCCATCAATGAGAAAGGCTTTGGTCTCTTTATTGCAGACTTTGGTCTGAGTATTTTACACAATAATTTATTTTTATATAATTGGCAAACGACAAGAGTAAACACTATTTTTCCAATTCGTTAAGAAGTTGGACGAAATGTCTTCAAATTTTTGTTCCCACCTCTGACAGTCACGATCATGCAAAAAAAATCATTGCGAATCTACAAAAAATTTATAGCTGTTTCTTTGCAGACAACGGATATATGTTTCTTTGCAGACAACGGGTATATGTTTCTTGACATTTGAAGACAACGGATGCATTTTTTTGCAGACAACTGATACATATTTCTTTGAAAACATTTGCAGACAACGGATACACTTTTTTGCAGACAACGGATACATGTTTCTTTGCAGACAACTGATACATATTTCTTTGAAGACATTTGAAGACAACGGATGCATTTTTTTGCAGACAACGGATACATGTTTCTCAAGCAGACTGTGACCACGGCTAACAACTTCGACTGGCGCTGCATGGCTGGAGGCCTACAACAGCTCACCTCCCTCACTGGGTGGCAGCCAGCGGGCTGGTGTCCATAGAGCGGTCTTCAGACGTCACCTGGGCCTATACTTTCAAAAAAAGTTAAGAGATCGTAAGTTCATCAGCCAATAATTGACGGCCTTTCAAGCAAAATCAACCAATACTAGATTAGAAAATAGAGCGGAAGTTCTTACGTTCACTTAGCGAGTTTTGAAAGTATGGCACCTGAACTCCAATAATCTCGAGTGGGCATATTTTTGTGATGGTGCAGCGAGAATGTTAGTGGGAAATTGGGGAAAAACATGTCAAAAAGTCGTCAGATAGGGGAAAAAGAAATGGAAAAGACACAAGGTGAGGAATAATATGCATATCAAAATTAATTTTTAAAGACAACACTTCTAAAAAGTCCAGTGTCTCCGATGTTACACATGTGCAACGAATTTCTAATTTTATTATCAATATTAAAAAATATATAATTTTTTAATTTTATTGTTAAAAAGAATAATAATTTTTTAAAATTATTTATTCAATCAATTGAATCATTCATTGTCTCTAACTTTACGCAAGTATGCAAAATTTCAGATCGATTGGACATGTAGAAGCTTAGTGCGTTAAATATCGATAATAAGATATGTATTAGACAAAATTATTTTTTCAAATTAAAATAAAATAATTTTTAAAATTATATATTCTGTCAGTAGATTCATGCATTGTCTCTATTTTTACGCAAGTATGCGATATTTCAGATCGATTGTCCAGGTAGAAGTGTGTTAAATATCGATTATAAGATTTGTAGCAGACAGACAAACAAACAACAAGAAGTAAAGAGAGAAGGGCATATACGTTCAAAAAAAGTTAAGAGATCGTAAGTTCATCAACCTATCATTGACAGTTTCAAGCAAAATCCACCAATCATAGACAAGAAAATAGAGCGTAAGTACTTACGTTCACTTAGCGACTTTTGAAAGTATGGACCAAGGTGTATGGAGTTGTGGAAATGACCCGCCATCACGTGTTTTTCTAACGACGTGAACACTCGATGTTATTGGGGTTAATGGCCGTTTACCGATGAAATGGTATTACGGATACCAGTGAGTAAAATTATATATGGATCAAGATTGACCTATGACATGCAGTAAATAGTTAGCCTCCAGCATCCTTTACGACCCCTGTGTTGCCATAGTTACCTTGGATGAGAACAGAACGCTTAATATTGATGTGTTCCCAATTCATTCTTAAAATTAGTTACTTTAGGGCATTTTGTCTTTCCTATTTATGTTCATTGCAGTTGGTTCTGACATACTGTTTTTCTAGTAAGATCAATAACAACTGCTGGCGCTAAAAAAAGTAATTGATTTTTAATTACAGCAAAAATCCGCATTCTCACCAAAGCAAAATGATTACCGTCTCTGCTCGATATTTTCTACGATAATCTAAAAACAATTCTTAAATACATTCTAAAATTTCATTAACGCAGTCAAGAAACGGTAAAACAGTTGGTGCCTATCATTACAAACTCCGAATTGTCCGCATTCATATAAAGCATCGATGATTGGAGATAACATTATATCGTCGGCAATATGAGCTTCCTTTGTTTCTGATAGATAGGGTGAGATTAGTTTTAGGTTTGAGTCAAGAAACTCTTAACTTAAACCCAAAGAGTTTTGGGTTTAACTACATCTGAAACTAATTTGGTTTCAGGTGTACCATCCTGAACCTGAAACTAACGAGGGGATTTAATCCAATTCTATTTATTACAAAAACATGAACGTTAATGAGGATTTACATATTTATTTATTATATATATTATACACAAATGGATTACATATTATGAAAAATAGTTGAGAACTTCAAAAAATTCCGCTGTACCGATGCAAAACGATGTAACTTAAGCTGTTTTAGACAATTAAATCTAGATCCGCAACGGTGTTTCTCTTATTCCAAACAAAACCAAACGATAATATTCTACTGCATAAAATTGCCAGCGATAATAAAATACTTGAAAAGATGTTTACAACGGATACATGTATTGCCCTTTAATTTAAATATTTCATCGGAAAAGTTTTTAAGCCTGGTTTTGTGAACTGACCTTATTAAACTTTAAGGCTGCTTGGAAATCACAAAGTTGATAACCTGGCATGATTTTTCTTAACCTCTCATGAGCTTTTGCCATTTTTGCCATAAGTCATTTTAGTCTAAAGTTTAATTTCTATTTTGCGTGAAAATTTCAATTTTTATAGCAGCATTTGCGAGGACACAGGATGATACGGCGGAAAATTTTAGAAATTTTGCTCATGATAAGAGACCAATATTATGAAGCCATTAACTAATTAATATTCAAGATAAATTTTATTACATATATAGTTCTTTTTTTCCACTGATTAGTTCTATATCATTTAGACTTTATCTCCAGCTAAAATTTTTGTATATCTTTACCTAAAGGATAGATGCGACAAAAGCTGACAAAAGGAGTATTTTGAACATAAAAAAAAAAGATGTAAAAAAGTTAGAGAAAAAATTCACTTTTAGAGATGAGCCTTAAAAATTACTAATAAAAAAAGTATTTATCGTGCATATACATGGCTCACTACTGCTCCCTTTTTTCTTATTATCCTTCCTAGTTTACACGTGTCACTTCATAACATAGAACGAAGAAAACCGAACACTTGCAAAGTCTGTCTTTTGCCCCCAACTTACGACATCTGTGCGATGTATGACCTCATTTATTTAAAGACACGAATACGTTGACTCATTCATATATTTTCTTCGACGCTAACGTGTCTTCGAGGGCTCAGTTTCAGTGCAAAGACGTCCAAGGAAACAGAATCGAAGTCTAGTGCATTTTTTTACAAGCCGAGAACTAGCGCAACGAAGCATCAAAGACGTAAGTTTGCCTAACGAATCCTAGCAGCGAGCGCTACTACGTATGTCTATCTTTCTTAACTCACATGTGATTTTCGGTTGATAATAATTTATAAGTTGTTGGTATAAATATTTTAGTATTGATATTTGTTGTTGAATTTTACATTCAACGACAATTCCGTTAGGTGCTGCGTAAGAATTTCGTTGACGCCCGAATTTTTTTTTTTTGGCATGCTTGTTTTTGGGTTTGTTTTCGAATTTCAGTAACTTTATTCAGTGAGATCTTAGCTCTCACGCCTGGTCTATTGTGAAATTTAATCGTTATTATGTTCACAAACTATCACTTTATTTTACTTTATAAATAAAGAAATTTGTAGGAATATATTTCAATGGAAAATAATATCGTTACTTGAGTCGTTTTGTAATGAATAAATGTTGTAATTTTTGACTGTTGTATGAAGGTTCAAGTTTTTTGCTTGCTCTAAATATACGTTTTCAGATTTTTCGAAAATTGGGGCAAAATTCGAGAGTTTAATTTAACAAATTTCATAACTGAAGTCAAGATCATCAATATGATGCCAAGCCCGAGAGATGATTTAAAGTAAAATTACAATATATTTTAACGACAATGCAGTTAATGTTCCATTCTGTACCATTTTTCGATTTTTGTTCTTCGGAATGACTCCTAAATTTGTTCAATAGGGCAAAGCGCTGTAACAAAATATTTAATTCCTTTAACCTATTTTTCTGGTAATCATTACTAGCCGAGAGTCGGAATATCAAAAAGCTCTTGTTGGGCCGCAGCTGGATTGTCAAAAGGCCTTTATTTGCCAGAAGCCGGCTTACTAAAAGGCCATTATTGTTCTGCAGCCACAGTATCAAATAGTCTTTTTTCCCAGAGCTGGGGTACATCAAATTTTAATATTCCTAGTAAGCTTAGTGTTAGTCGCACATTCTGATTTCTTATCCATGATTAGCATGCTTGGCATGGTCAAAGCATACAGTCAAAGTGTTGCTACTTTGACTGTGCTTTGATAAAGTATTGCTCCAAGCATGGTCAAAGTGTTGCTAATGACCAAGAGTATTCTTGATCATTGGGCTGTCGAGATGACAGCAGTATGAACTCGTATATATATCAATATATGTTGGAATAACCAGCATCATATACATAGGTTATATGTTCAAACTTGAACTGCCTTGCACAATAAGAACCTGGTATATAGGAGTCCAGTAGCTGTTTCAATCCAGTCAGCTTAGAAAGTTCTGGTCAGAGTGCCTGTTTTTAGATCTCCTTTGAACACGTAACGAAAAGTACAAGAATCAGCGATAGGCCACACCAGGCCCATTATTCAGCGCCGTTTATATTATGTAATATCATATTATCATGTATACACAGCATCATGTTTGTTGGGTAATATCATGCATGACCAGTGTCGTGTATATTTTTTAGTTTGATAACGTGTTATATTTGTATGGTGAAACTAGGATCTAGAGAGTCAATCTCGCCCTAAAAATTCAAAGCATAAGGCATTCAAAATTTGAACCAATGCGCACATTGTTCTGCATTAAATCAGATCTTTCCTTAATAATTGCCTAATAGTCCCCGTCTTAAGAAAAATCCCTGATAAACTTTGTGGCTTCTGATAAAAAAGTGCATCAGAGTGTATCAAAAACATTTGATACACATTGTGGTCTCTGATAAAAAAGTGTATCAGAGTGCATCAAAACCTCTAGCACACTTTGTGACCTCGGATAAAAAAGTGTATAAGAGTGTATCAAAAACATTTGATACACATTTTGGCTTCTGATAAAAAAGTGTATCAGAGTGTATCAAAAGCCTCTGATACACTTTGTGGTCTCTGATAAAAAAGTGTATCAGAGTGTATCAAAAGCCTCTGAAATATATTCATCAAATTTTTAATAACAGGATCTAAAAACCGAGTCGATAACAAAACGATCATTCTTCCGCCAGGATGATCTACAAGCTAGCGTTGGTGTTGGCGTTAGCCGACAATTTTACAGTAGAACACACTTGTTGTAAAATAGATTGGTCCTCAATGTTTTCATTACATTTTTCTTATTGTTAGTAACAGGATGTAATAACCGACCCGACGAAAAAACGATCTTTTATCCGCCAGGATGATCTACAAGCTAGCGTTGGTGTTGGCGTTAGCCGCGCTGCTGGAGGGGACTGCGGCAGATGTGAAGATGGCAAACCGAAGCGACCGCGACAATGTCGGACCCGGAAACCAGCGCGGAACTTTCGGCTGGTTTGGATGTCCCTCCGAGTCCGTGGACGAGACCGTCCCGACCAATTTCACAGATTTGGAGAAACTGGTTAGCATTTGAGAATTGTTTTGTATTTTTTTATTTCGTACCTCGTGAGTGATTACCTTGTTTCTTATCAATCTTATTTTTTTAGTAAGTGTGGAAATATTGTCTTTGTTATTAATGGTCTAATTTTTTCCTTTCTTTATTTATTATTATTACTATTATTATTATTATTATAGATTTGGAGAAACTGGTTAGCATTTGAGAATTGTTTTGTATTTATTTATTTCGTACCTCATGAGTGATTACTTTGTTTCTCATCAATCTTATCTTTTTAGGAAGTGTGGAAATGTTGTCTTTGTAATTACTGATCCAATTTTTTTTCTTTGTTATATTTATTATTATTATAATTATTATTATGATTTTACTGATATTTTAGATATTGATCCAATATTGTTTTCGTTTTATTCGTTTTTATTATTTGGTTTTGAAAAAAATAATATTTCACTTCATAAATATTGCTTGCCTTGCATTGCTATACGCATTCTCAGAGCTCCTCAAGGCTTCATCACAGGGTTGACTCATGTTGATTATTGTCACTAACATCAACTAAGTATTTTTTTTTGCATTGCCACAAGCCAATGACTTCGTCTCGCTTATAAGAGCTGCACGTTTCTGTTATTTAATGACTATTTCACTCAAAAACTTATGCGAATAATGGATCATTTAAGGTATTCATTATTTATTTTTTGCAATTATATTATAATGAATTAATTATTTTGGCAAAAATTTTGCGAAAATTTTTGAAACTTTTGCATTTTGAAATTATTTTTGCAACAATATATTATGTCCAATGTCTTATTCCTTACAATGCCAACAGTTCCCACAACTTTTCCCGGCACGGATGTACCTCAAATGGGGACCAGACTACGAGCGGCACATGTCATGCCTGATTGTGGACAAGTTTGGTTGGCCTCCCGCAAGTGGTGGTGGCAGATCTAACGCCTCCCCCCAACAACGCAACATCTTCACCGACATTCTCGCCTTCTTTGGGTTGGTTAGCAGTTCTGATCCCAACGCTACCACAACCGAACCTCCTCCTACCACAACCACGGTGCCCACTACCACGGTGCCGGTGCCTCCAGGTGCCCCCAGTCCCGGACTGCTGGCTATCCTGCAGTTTCTGCTAGGGTTGTTCGGAGGGGGGTCTTCTGAGGGGGTGCCGCCCCCCGTGTACCCTCACAACTGCACCATTGAGTACTTCATGGAGTAAGTCTAACATCAAGTCTAAATTTATTCACACATAAATTTTTTTAATAATGTTATGATGTTTCTTATAAGTCGTTGTAAGTCGTAAAGTGACCTACTATATTAATATGGGGTCAATTTATAATAAGCATATAGACACGAATACTTGGACTTATAAGATTTATTATAAACGTGTGAGATTCCAATTGAAAAAATCAATTATTTTACGCAAATTAGACTTATTTTTTATTTTATTTATTTATTTCCTGTTTTATTTTTCCATTTTATATTTTTTTGTGCTGGCCGAGATTGTCTCGTGTGCTGTTTGCAACTCGCTCAAAAATTGATGACACATTTACAAATTGTTTTATGCAGTTTTTGCCAGTGCGCGGGTAAGAATGAAGCAGTTTAGCCTGGCAAAACAACGTATCGGTGTTTGGCGCAGAAAATGTGTCACTATTTCAACAATTTAACACATTAAATTTTCTGAGTGCAGCGTACATTATCGGTTGACCGTAACGTTCAAACATTTTTCTCCGGTCACTACTAATAATTTATAGTAAATGGCACAAACAAAATTCTTATAAACTGTTTCTTCATGAATAATCCCTTGATTATTCGTTTCAAACATATAACTAATTATTCACAGTATAAGCAATACGTTCCTGTTAATCAACGATTAAGCAATACGTTAGCCGTTATTCAACGTTGAAGTACGCCAGTGACATTTCTGGATATATGACTAATCTTAACCTAATCTCTTTATCGCAGTAATCGTAACCCAATCTTTGTGAATTTTGGAAATATGAAACTTTTGAAAATAAAAATCGGAAATCAAAATATTTTCGTTGTTGGATGCCTAGTATTGATCCCTATTCCCTAGTCTTGCCTAGTATTGATCCCTATTCAACCTCATTTGTGCGCCAGATTAGAAGCTAAAATTGGAAGCTAAAATCAGCTAGTAATGTAGGATTCCATCACTGTCGGCTGTGCATTGGGATCGCCAAATTAAATCGGCAAATCATTATTACCTTGATTTAAAAATTTTTGTCATGTTTACATTATGAAAATGCGGAGAGATGAACTAATCTAAATAAATAGAAACTAAGCGACCTCAAGCATTCCTCCGCCCACCACATGCGCAGGCTATTTGCTACCCATTAACTTTATTAAAAATCTAAGCAGTCTCAGCGTTAGCCACTCTAACATCCTGAGGCCGTACTTTCAAAATTCGCTAAGTGAACGTAAGTACTTACGCTCTATTTTCTTGTCTATGATTGGTGGATTTTGCTTGAAAGGCCGTCAATAATTGGCTAATGAACTTACGATCTATTAACTTTTTTTGAAAGTATACGCCCTGTTATTTTTTACACGAATAAAATCATAATTAGGATGAAATTCTTCACAGTGGGAAGCCGACCTTGGCGAAGACAAACATCACCATCATCGATAAGGCTCCTTTCTCGATAAGATTCACAGGCCTTCCTTATGGCAGTGAGTTGAAGATCTCATAATTAACTTTTACACGAGAATATTAATTAATTAGGATTAAATAATTAACGCGAATATCTAGTTCATGACCAAATCCATCACATCTTACTTAGATTTTTCTGGAAGCAAAAAGTTTTGGTTTAGTGTCATGAATTCATTGATAAACATAAAATCGTTATTATCCCTAGATTCCATTCTAAATATTGTCACAAAAATTATTTCTACGAATAATTTTTATCTTCACTCTATGAATAAACAAAAAAATTCCGGGATTTTTAATTTTAGTTTAATCATAACCCTAATTTTCTAATTCATATCGATGTGATCGTAATGAAACCGAAAATGTTAAATATTAATGACCTATTACGAATCGGTAAGAATATTTTTTTGCAACATCTACTGCCTCAATGATGTGAGGTTTAACCTAATGTTAAATACTTTTTTAGTACTTTCAGTGATGAGCCAACTTATTAAAAGATAATCAAACGCATGTTTTCAAAATAAAAAGGATTAAACTTGTGTCACCCTCAAAAAATTATTATTTCCTTGCGAGTGAAAAATTTTTGCGTTGAATAAAAATTCAATAACATTTTACCATTGACTTGGTCATCACACACATCGAAAAAGACTTCTTCATCCTCGAGAGCTGCGACCCTTACTTCATCTTCAATGAACGTTAGTCACTCTAGCTGTATTAACCTCTATGGATTATCTGATCAATTTTTATAGTTAGATTGGCCAACCCGGACCGAAGCAAAGCCTTTCAAGATTTCAATCGATATTCGCTGACACATTGGTGTTCAGCGCTGGCCAGAGCAAAAAATAAATTCATTGGTACCTGTTTCACAGACTACGCTTACATGATGGTCCCGTACCTGTCCCACAGAGTACTCGTACATGATGGTCCCGTACCTGTCCCACAGAGTACTCGTACATGATGGTCCCGTACCTGTCCCACAGAGTACTCGTACATGATGGTCCCGTACCTGTCCCACAGAGTACTCGTACATGATGGTCCCGTACCTGTCCCACAGAGTACTCGTACATGATGGTCCCGTTCTTGTCCCACAGAGTACTCGAGCATGATGGTCCCGTACCTGTCCCACAGAGTACGCGTACATGATGGTCCCGTTCTTGTCCCACAGAGTACGCGTACATTATGGTCCCGTAACTGTCCCACACAGTACGCGTACATGATGGTCCCGTTCTTGTCCCACAGAGTACTTGTAAATGATGGTCCCGTACCTGTCCCACAGAGTACGCGTACATGATTGTCCCGTTCTTGTCCCACAGAGTACGCGTACATGATGGTTGGTCCCCACTTCATGGAGACCGACGTGGACTGGCACTGCATGGCCGATGCTTTTGATACTCGCCCCGGCATCTCCGACGCCCGCCCCGGTGGCATCTGCGTGCCTGGAGCACCGCTTGAGGAGGTTACCGTGGAGACGACGACACCTGGTGAGGGTGATGGAGGTGATGGAGGTGATGGAGGTGATGGAGGTGATGGAAGTGCCATCGACTTCGTTATCATCAACAACATCGAATGATGGGGGTGCCGTCGCTATCGTCGACACCATCTGATGATGGAGGTGTCGTCGAAAAATGATGTTCCCGAGGTGCTCATCAGAATATGGAAATTCCCTAAATTGAGTGTTCAGTGTGTAAAGTCTAGCCATAGACGCACATTTTTATAATAATTAAAAATCAGAACAGGACATCGATCACCTGTTCTTAATCATTGTACAATTTAGAAGTTTCGGCTGTCAACTCTTGTCAATTTATGTTTGAAGAAAATTACATCAAATGTTGTTATAAGAAACGACAACGGGTTTAACTTGCTCAACACGTGACAGAATTATTAAAAACCATTCTACATATTTGTTAGAATTGAATCAGTTTTGGATAAAGGTCAATCATTTAAATATTTAGTCAATTGCATTTTTTAGTGTTTGTTATGATAACATAGCTGAAAAAATACAGTTCCATCTCTTTATTGTACAAATAGTGCTTGCAATTGAAATGGTTACAGTTCAATAAATAAATTCTGGAGTGTGTCTCTTCTTCAATTCAATACTTTCGATTCAACTGGATGATGTCCTAATTGTCATCTCTGTGAGTGATGACAAAGACGAGACTAAAAAGTGTCGATTAAATGTAGGTTCATAATTCATCAATAATAAGCAAATATCAAATTTACCTATCATATCATAATATATTTATCATGAGCAAATAATTCTGTCAGATTCAGGTCAGGAGTCAGAAAAACGGTTCATAACTTATCGAAGGCATTGCAATGTGAATAATGGAAAGAGAGCTCAAGTAAATCGCAACCCCACATTGAAGGAGCACGCACACAGTGCGTGGGCAAAACTGTTGTACGAGTTTAACGAGTTTAATGAAAACTAAAAAAATGAAATGTAGGCCTCGAAGGAGCACTCGCGATGCTCTATCATCAACTGCATTTCGTGACTGTCAGAGGCGGGAACAAAAATGGAAGGCCTACTTTCTGGGCCGGATCCCTTATTAGCTCCCAAATTTCATCTCTTGCCTCTAAGTTTATTATAATTTATATGACATTTTATACAGGTTGGTTCCACATGCGCTTCTTGTGGAACCTCAAGACTTGAGCCAGCAAATAAGTAAATAGATATGGACTGTATGTTATCGTTTTCATTAGACAGCGCAAAATACACCAATTTCTTAGCAGATATAAGACCAGGGCCTATACTTTCAAAAAAGTTAAGAGATCGTAAGTTCATCAGCCAATCATTGACGGCCTTTGAAGCAAAATCCACCAATCATAGACAAGAAAATAGAGCGTAAGTACTTACGTTTACTTAGCGTGTTTTGAAAGTATGGCCCCTGNTACGAGCAAGAACTGAGACAGGATGTGACTGTAGACAGTGAGAACCTTGCTTCGTGCGGGATACGAGCAAGAACTGAGACAGGATCAGACTGTAGACAGTGAGAACCTTGCTTCGTGCGGGATACGAGCAAGAACTGAGACAGGATCTGACTGTAGTTAAAAATTCTGTAATTGCGGCATTAGAACTTGATGCAGGAATTTAGAAGCAGATTTCAGGATAAAAAGTGTCTAGAAAATTTATTTCTATTTTTATAAATATAATTTAATCTATTTAAAAATATTCATTTGAAAATCAGATTCAATTGAGAATTAGATTTCAAATCTCTAATATGTTGTTTGTAGATGCATAGGTTGATTTATGTACAATTAAATCTATCTAATTTTTGTTGATAATGAACTCCCAGCATTTCCATTGTTCAGAGGATTGTCTGTACTTATAATACTTATGTCTATTCTGTTCTATGCTATCTAAATACAAGCAAAAATTATTAATTCATGTCGCGCGTTCCAAAATTTTTGCGATTGTGCAATATTTATGTGATATAAATGCAAAAATTCGTCGCGTTTTCAAATTTAAACAGGAATTGTGAACGCGGTCTTTGGTGCCTAGTTATATTTTTAAATAATAAATAAATAGATTTCTCGCTCGCTTTGAAGAATTTTGCTAAATCCGGACTAGAAAACCCAGGTGAAAACAGCAAAGAACGCGTCCAGGAAACAAGCCCAATGAGGAAAAGCGTAACGAAAGCACTTTATTTGAAACTCAATTTCCAGAGCTAAATAAGGGAGTGGCTCAGAACTGTACTGCATTTGAATGCATAACTTAACCCTTCTTTGGAGTGAGACTTATGCCTTGGAAGGTTTACGAGTTCAAGCTTTCGGATCACTTGTTCCGGGCAAACCAAAGCAAATGAAAAGTGATTTGAGTGAATGGAGGTTGCGCCACGTTGCTGCGTTAAGCTTCAGCTAGAAATATTCTTATAATGTAATGTATTATTTGCAGTCTGTTTATTAATGCAACGATATTCACGGTTTCATTAAAACCCGGCTATTGATGGACGGTAATAACGGGATTATTTTTAACCTAGAATATTTGAAGAAGTTGATCATTTCTTAACAGTTTCACCGCTCCGTCAATGTACCGGAAGATTGAAGTACATTTCCTCCCTAGCTGTAGGATTCTCAGTGCAAACACGTAAAGGTTCATTATAGTTAAAACTATTACGTACTTACGTACTTAAAACTATTACGTACTCAAGAAGCTTATCTTAGTAACCAACATATTTCTTTATTAGTTGGCGGGCGCTCCATCAAAGTAAAGAACATGCACTTGGCATCGCAACGGGAATTTCTGACAGAGAACAGGCTGGTGGGCGCATTTGTCGCCACAAGTCGTAACCCCAACTATAAAAAAATCGCAATGGGAAATATTTTTGTTAGGTTTGTCAGATCACACACGTCAGTGTCATCGGTGACCCTGGCACCTCTCCGTTTACATTCAGGAGCAATCGCCGCCTATATAAAGGGTTGTTGTGCCCACCCTGGGTCAGTTGCTCGCCGACTGCGGGCTCACCGGCATACACAAGTCGTCGAGCAGAGTCCAGTTAAACAGACAACATTATTTGCCTGAGTTCTTTATAATATTAATTTTTAGTTTATTATTATGTTAATTTTCAGTTTATTGTTATATTAATTTTAAGTTTATTATTACATTAATTTTTAGTTTATTATTATATTAATTTTTTGTTTAGTATTATATTAATTTTCAGTTTATTATTATATTAATTTTTAGATTATTATAGTATATTAAATATTTTCTGTTCCATAGATTCAATTTTAGATATGTTGATAGATTATGTTGATATGAGGTCAACTGTGAATACAATTAACAAATCTGCAGTTAGAATCGAGCGAGCATCCATGTCAGAAATCTAATCTAAATGGAATAAGAATTAAGCGTAGGCAGATGTTTCAACATATCATCCCAATAAAAGTTAATGTGCACATATTGATAAAGCGTTCACGTACATTATTCCTTTATATTGCTACTACCAGCAGACGTCCACTCTAGATTTTTTCCTCTAATGAATAAAAAAAATGTACAATACATTCGCTGGGATGTGACATCAAATTTGCGAGGAGGTTTCAAAATTGACCGAAAAATGAAAGTAGCGACCAATTCACAAAAAAATA